AGTCCCATTTGCCTAATTTTTTATGTTTCCATGGACTAAAATTAGCCACTAAATGACAATTATTAAATATAAATACAGTCTCGCGTTATACACTCGCCACAACCACCGATTTGACCAATAAGGGCCGCGCTTGTTTTGATTTGGTCCTAAAAAACTACATATAATATTTTTGATTCAGCGCTTGATTTTTCAAAAAGCTACCAAAAGCACTTTTTTCATGATTTTTCCAATTTATGTAGAGTATGGAATTTTTTTTTTTCAAAAAACAATAGCAAATTCTTGTAGAACATTTATTCATTGGTGGTCAGAACATTCCGTGGACCAAAAAATAAATAAAAAAATCGATTTTTTGTATTACGGTATTCGTTAGAATTGAGCGTTGCACATTTTTCATCTAAAAATCTCAAAACTCTAAACTTTAAGCTTCAAATTGCTTTTTTACGGCTCCAATACGACCATTTTTAACAGATATACCGAAAAATCGCAAAAAAAAATTTTATACTTTAATTTTTTGTATTAGTGTAGAAGTTTTACATTGCTATTGGTTTTTAATGTGGAAACTACCAAATAATAAGAAATCAGATTTTTTAGTCTTGGTCAAAATTTTTAATAATGAAAAATGTAATGTATTCTACATTTCACTTTATTATTAATATACACAAAAAAACAAAAAAAAAACCGTTTTTTTTCTAGTTTTTTTTTCATGTTTTTTTTCACATCTGAAAAAAAACCGTTTTTTACATCTCTAATGACAATTAATAATTTTTGCATGCAATCCACAGCCTTAATCATAAGTATGTAAAAATAGTGGCCTGCAGTGCCATTTAAAATGGGGTATGCAACAGAATCGAAAAATTCTTTCCTTTAAGGTACAGTTTTGTTGATGCGACTCGCGGCTGCGGCTTGCGGCTGCGACCTTAGCCGCGCCACTGCTTAGTACAATTTCTGTGTATATGTTTTGGTTGGCGCGTTCAGTCGCAGTCTGCGACTGAACGCGTGAACCAAAACATATACAAACAAGTTGTACTAAGCAGTGGAGCGGCTACGATCGCAGCCGCAAGCCGCAGCCGCGAGTCGCATCAACGAATCCGTTCCTTAACCAAGAGTAAGCATGGCCAACAATACATTTCATTTTTATGACTACACCCGCAGAGCTATTTATAATTGTCATATATTTTTTTCTTAAAATATAGGAAAGTTTTTTTTACTGCACGATTTTTAAGTCTGGGGTAAATCTAACAATCTTAATAACATTTTGTTTATCGTTAAATGTTATACACCGCCATCGCAATGGCATTCTAAAAAACCACAAGCTATTCACAAAATCTTTCTAACCAACAAAACTAACTCACAATTACAAACTAAAAAACAAACCCTTGAACTAGGTTTGCACGTTTACTTAACCATCTAATAATCTCAAATTGTATTGTTTAATTGAACAACAAATGTTAGTCAAATGAACAAAATGAAGATATTTGTTCTAATCTGCTAATCTGGTTAATTAAACATTCTTGATATGTCGGAGTAATATTTCGAAAATGGTTGTGCTAACATTTTTAAGATGTTGGTAAATTTCTTGAAATGTCCAGGTAACCTTTTTAGCATATTCACTTAACACCAATAAAATGTTAAATTAAAATAATTTGCGCTAATGTTGGGTTAATTAAATTATGAAATTAATATAAAGAGAAAGAATTGAACCTTTCCTCGCCAGAGTTTTTGTTTTGAGTGCGTTCCACCTGCTTCAAATACCTACCGACAGACAGCTGATTCGACCTATATTGGGGTCTTATCAGTCACTGATCATCAGTGTCAGGCAATTTGGTGTAGTGGAAGTTCCACTGTGGAACACACCGAAAACAAACGGCTACCTGAGCTTATATACTCCTATCGTAAGCCAACTGAGGCGAGATGTAAGAACATCACGTGATCAACACCGTCTAATGACGTGGCGTGGGTGTTCGAAGCGCCCTTCACGACAATTTTATGAATGCAAAATTAACAAATTTTAAAGTAACATTTACAATTTGTTAAATGAACAAATTTAATGTTTGGGATTTAAAGAGCAACTAAACGTTAATTTAATAGTTTTTTAGGTAATCCTAAAAATTTCAGTATTTGATTCAACCAATTACCGCTATTAAATCAAAGTAGGATAAACATTTTAATTCAAAAAATTAATTTCTTTTAAATCAATATTTTAACCGTCAAATGAACAAATAAACTTTGACAAACTCTGACTATTGCTTTGACACCAAAATATAGATTAATCAAAAAATTTCATTTAGGAAAACGTTAACTCAACTAAATTATTTTTTTCAGTGTATAATTAATATTTTTATAAGCGATTAAGATAGTTTTTTTATCTTTTCATTATCCTTTTTAATAAAATTTGTATTTATATTATCGGTATTAAAATTAAATTCCTAAATATGTATAAAAAAATATCAAAACGTGCAATGCATTTGTGCTTTCATTGTATGCATGCCACTGAAAATAGCTTAAATTTATTGTTTCACTAGTAGAATAATACTTTTTTATACTAGTGTAATAATAGCTTACTTTTTTCATTTTTTTCAAGCTTAAAATGTCTCAATTGAGTAATGTTTTGGCAATTTTTTTCTTAAACCCCTAACTAACAGGGATATGTGTTCTGTTTACCACACGACCTTATAATAGGCTATTAATTTGGCTGTAAGGAGTGAGGGGCGGTTCGTGTCGAGTAAAAACGACGTCTGACAAACCTCCCCTTCAAGCTGAACAGGAGATAAAAGTTGGAGTTTACCGCAAACATTAACATTGAGCTTAAACAGACAGGGCAGTGTAGCGTCGCGACGGAGTTGGGTGCCCTTTTCCACGAATCGTTAAATGTAGATGGATGGGGTCGGTGAAATTAGCACTTACGTGGTGTTATGATTTACAGCTAGGGATGGATTAAGTCGTTGGTTTCTAGTTTAGGGGTGCGTACAATATTTACCAGAAACGGCGAATTATGTAAATGTAAAAAATAATAAATTATATTATTTAATGAAAAAGAAAACAAAACAAAAAACCAGATGAATTGAAGCAAAATAAAAATAATATGAAAGACATAATTTTTGGTATAAAATATTAACCACATCAAAATCAGCTTGACATCGCGTCAGATATATTTTTTAACAGTTTGCTTACAAAAATAATAGTTTAATTTAGTTTTTAACACGTTTTATCTTTTTAAACCATCAGAAATTTTAATAAAAAAAATTAATTCCCTATAACATCACTTAAAAACCACAAATAAAAATTAATATTATTGCATAGTATGGCGCCAGTGCTTAATACTATATTATGTATCAAGTTTTATAAACGCCATTTAAGCTAAGAGTTTAATTATAGTTAATGCGTATAGGCACGAGCGAAGCCTGCGAGCGAGTGTTTGATATAAACGAGTGTCTAGAGAAGTTTATCAACTAGTTGCATACTATACTTTTTCTAGGACGAACACAAACAAGAAATTAAAGCCTATTTCTTGTTAAATGTTTGACAACTGTCACCCGGATTTAATCACACTTTTTTCTATTTATAATAATGCTTCAGTCCGTGACTAAATAGCCCAAACGTCACTCTTGCTAACTGCAGCCCGTGACTAAAACGCCATAAAGTCACAGCTTGTCAATGTATGAGTGGATAATAGTATATTATGTATCAAGTTTGATAGCGAGCGAGTGCTTAAATTAATGAGTGTATAGAAAAGTTTATAAACGAGGTGCATACTATACTCTTTCTACGACAAATACTTATTATTATCTTAAAATGATTTAAATCAAAAATTTGCATAGAGCGCCATCATGAAACAATAGGGGAAAGTTTGTGTCACCGTCAAATGTCACATTTTTATATTTTATAAACACAATTATAAAGGTTATAAATCGAAATGTATTTCTTAAAAATTGACAGTTTTTCACAGTGAAAGTAAAGAAAATGTTTTATGAGGACTTTACAGTGGAGTCCGTGCCCGAATTTAAGTTATAGTTTACTGCCGGCGAAATTAAAAGGTCAGTTCAATGTTCATATAAACTTTTCAAATATTGGCGTTGAGAAACTATTTAATATTTTTGTATTTTTGTATTGAGATAATAAAATAATTTTTACATTTAGTATTATTTTACAAGAAAGGCACTTTATTTTAACGATTGTATGACATTTGACAACTGTCAACTAACTTAAAACTAACCAGCCCGTGACTAAAAACCTGTTGCTAACTTCAGCCCGTGACTAAAGCGCCATAAAGCCACAACTTTTCACTTAGGTCATGGAAATTTGTACGATAAAGGGCGTTTTATAGGTGGGAGTAGAAAAAATAAATAAATTAAATAGGATTAAAATTGTTCTTGTAACAGCAATTTTAAATATTGCTAAAAAATCGATTTTATTTTGTTAAAAACATAATTTTCAAAGGAAATTATTATATGTTTTCGTATAATTTGGTTTTTGTTTAATTGGGACCTATAGCGACATAATCAATGGTTTTCGGTTTAAATATCGAGCAAACAAGAGCTGATTAAGCAAAATGATGCTTATTTTGAATTTATCTTGCCGGCAGTCAAATGGAAGACAAGTGTATATATATTTAAATAAAATTAAATTACAATATATTAACACATGTCTAATATTAAAAACTGTTATTTATGACATTAGGCCAAAAAGTAAGTCTTTTTGAGGTGAGAAAAGCACAAAAGGACTTTTTCTAAATTGCATACATTTTATCTTTAAGCTACAATTTTATATGTTAAACGATTAATGAAATTAAATAGCGTCCAATTATAATAGTATACTGACTACTAAGCAACTGGCAAAAAGAAAATGAACTAATTACTAACCTCATAAAAGTATCTAGAAAATTATCAATTACTTTATAGTGTCGAGCGTTGTCGACAATAAAGTTTAGACCGCTTGAAATAAAGGATATTTATTGCTTTTTCTGGTTTAAAAATTATTTTGGAATATAATAAAAAATACAGTTGTATTATTATTAGTAGTTTTTTTATTTTTTTATTTAAACATAAAAGGAATGTTGATCAATTTTTAAACAATAATTTTTTTGGTTACGTATCCGGAGTTAAGGCCAGATCCGATGGTGTGTACACCGGAGTGGACAAGTCCGGATCCAAAGGTGGATACACCGGAGTCTACAAGTCCGGATCCGATTGTGGATACACCGGAGTCGATTAGTCCGGATCCAATGGTAGATTCTCCGGAGTTTATAAGTCCAGCGGAGCCGATGTGGGATACTCCGGAGTTGATAAGTCCAGCTGAGCCGATGGTGGATACTCCGGAGTTAATAAGTCCGGAGCCGATGGTGGATAAACCAGAGCCGTAAGCCAAACCGGATACTCCAGAACCGTAAGTGAGTCCAGAGGAGAAGGAGCCAAGACCGGCGTATCCGGTGGCTACTCCAGCCAAACCAGCGGCGCTGTTGTAATCGGTGTGGGTGTGTACGCGGCTTCCTACATTGATGGCTTCTGGTACTCTAACGATAACTGGTTCTGGGACAGCTACATTGACGGGGTGGGATACTGGTACTGGGACGGGTTGAGCGACGGGTACTCTTATGGTTTCTGGTACACGAATGTAAACTGGTCTTTCAACGGGGACGGTGATGGTCTTGGTGATTTTGACTGGGTATGGTCTGGATACTTCGACTGGGGTTGGTACTTTGTATGGGACAGCAACTGGGTGTGGTACTTGGACTGGGACTGGCCTTTCTACAGCAACTGGTACGGTTACTTTGTATGGTACGGCGACGTTCTTTTGGGAGTGGACGGCGTATGGGGCTGGTACATGGACGGTCCTGTATTGTGGTACAGCTACTGGGCGTGGTACTGGTACGGCTACCTTTTCTACGACGGTTTTAAGCACGTGGTTTTGTACTTGGACTCCCAAGTTCCTGCCAATGATTTGTCCGGCTTGAGCTTGGTATACGTGGTGAAGGGGAGCGCCCACTTGGACGTGTCCTACAGATTCTACGGCTGGGGCAGCAGCGATTCCTCCCAAAGTGGATACTCCTCCCAAGGTGGATACTCCTCCCAAGGTGGATACTCCTCCCAAGGTGGATACTCCTCCCAAGGTGGATACTCCTCCCAATGTATTGTAACCTCCTAAAGAACCGATTCCAAGAGCAGCGGAGTCAATGCCTGAAGATACTACTGATCCGGTAGATACTACTGGAGCCGCGGATACTACTGAGCCGGTGGATATAACTGGGGCGGCGGCCAAAGCGGCACCTCCCAAGGTGGATACACCACCCAAGGAAGAGTAGCCCAAAGAGGCACCTCCCAAAGCCAAACCAGAGTCCAAAGCGGCACCGCTTCCGTATACGGAACCAGCTCCCAAAGTTCCGAAAGATCCCAAGGTGGAGTAGCCTCCCAAAGCAGCGCTGTTATCCAAAACGGCGCCAGAGCTCAAAAGACCACCGCTAATTCCAGAGGAGTAACCGTTCAATCCACCGTTCCATCCACTGTTCCAACCACCGTTCAATAAAACCTCACGTTTGCTTTGTTCCTTTGATTTGGCATCTTTAGCAGCGGAAAGAGCCACCAAGGCGCAGAGGGCCACCAACTATAAAATAAATATATTTTTAGAAAATCTTGATAATAGAAATAAATTAATATTAAAGGGTAGTTAATAAAAATAACTTTATAAGATAGAAGTAGTACTAGTAAATATTTTACTTACTAGAAAAGATTTCATTGTGTGTTGTTGAACGAATGATACAAAATTCTTAGTAACATCTGCTTATATAGGAGATTTTTGATATGGATTTATATGTTGCAATATTTTTATTAAGAGGTATTTTTATAATCTTTTATTTATAAGGTGGAGCTGTTGTAAGAGAGAGCATTTTATAACAGAACATCTTTAATTTGTTACAAGTACTAAAAATATATATACACTTGGGGGGCATTTAATTAGCATTTAATTAGCTGGCTGTAAAGGCGTCATCTCTGTATTATTTTACGCATTTACAAAATGCTGGGACATTAATTTTTTAAGGTACTTTTTTGATCATTTATTAAGCATTAATTGTGCACTTTTGCAATTTTTTTGTTTTATTTCACGCATTTACAGGATTCCGTTCTGCTATTTTTTAACATCAGAACATTAATTTTTGCGACATTTAATTAACATGGAATAATTTTGTTATATAAATTATGTTATTGGATTAAGTTTTAAATTATTTTTGAAAAAGCTACCTTGTTAGCGAATCAATTGTCAAATTAAAATAAGGACGTGAAACTTTAAAAACAGTGTTTTTATACTTATATACATTAGTGTCATGAAGTTTCATAAAGTAAAGGTCGAAAGAATAAAATATACATATTTATATGGCTACAACTCAACAAGAAATCCCAGTACAGAAAACGAGATATTTAGAATATATACGTATATAAAGGTGATCCATTCAGAATTAACGTTTAGACTTGTATACTCTTTAGAGTAAAATTTTATTATATTGATATTATATCAGGGAACAAATCAATTACATAATACACAAAAAATAATTAAGTTTGTGTAGAATTTATAAATTATCTAGTTAGGTTTATTTACTGTATTAATTTAATATAATATAGATAATGCAATCTTTATCTCAAAAAATATTTATGGGGTAAAAGTATCAAGTAAATTCGCTTTATTTTCGTCCATTACCGAACTTTTGAAGTTTGATTGACTCGAAAATTTGGTATTTTATGGCCAAAATCACTGGCTCTAAATCATTTATTAGAGCTTAAAGAGAATGGGAACGAACGTGGCGAACTAGAAAGAAAATTTCTATTGGATTGTCCGAAACTAGAAACACGAAAACACTTTTGGCGGCACCTCGGACAATCTAGCGTCACCAAGGATGTCGTTAAATGTCCGCCTTTGACAATAAACATAAACAATAGATACTCAAAAAGGACTTTCGCCGGGGCGCAATAAAGCAACTGACAAAGATATACGGCCAAATTATTAAGGCCAAATGAGTATTTTACAACGGCACTTTGGTCAACTATAAATATAAATTATTTTTATGATTTTTACTGTTGTGTCCAAAAGCTGTTAAATAAATATGTTTGATTCCATGAAACAGTTTCAACGATTTCGAAAAAATTTAGAAAACTTTTAGGAAAGAAAATAATGTATACATTCTTAATCTCACCGATTCAATTATTATAATATATATATGTACAAGTACAAGTCCAAAATTTTTATTTTACAAATTATTTTCTAAAAATCAATTTAAAAGTTTAAAATGCATGCTTGTTTGTAAGAAGGAATACATTATTTCACAAAATATGATTATTATAATTTATAAAATAAACTGCGCACCACTCAATGTGTCGCGACCAAAAAGTTCGTCCTTTTTCAAAACGGCATAACTTTTTTGTTTCTTGAACGATTTTATTTTGGTCTGTGATGTCTGCTAACCCCATCCTCTGGCAATTCATGTTATAGATATGAAGCCCACGGTTCTTCAAGTAAATTTCCTACAGGGTGATATGTAAAACGGTAAAAAATTTTAATAACTTCATCCAAGCCCCGTTTGAAAAAAGAAATATTTTTTCTTGTTTTTACTTTGAAATAATGAAGTATTATGTCTTACCTTGAAAAGGATTTCAAATTTTTCGAATTGGAATCTTAGCAACGAAAATCTGATTTTTTTTACAAAAGAGTACATTTAAGGCCTTTTTGGTAGGCAATACACTCAGTCTTTTTAAGAAAAAAAAAATAAGATGGTGAAAGATTGTTCCTTGAATAATTCTGAACAAGCGAAAAGCAACAAACTTCTATCATTTTCAAAGTGGCCTAAGAAAAGACCACTTTTTTAAAATGACATTTTGGTAAAAATTTGCGAAAACTAAACCTGAACCGATATTTACGTTCATGACATATTTTCTTTATAATGTTGACCTCCTGATTGTGATTTAGTTGACAAATTTAAGTTTCAGATAAAACCAAAATCACCAAGAATTAAAATTCGAAAACAATTCCCGGCTGTTAAATGTCTTAATAAAATCCGAAAAAAAATCATATCGTCGTTGCTAGAATTCCAATTCGAAAAACTTGAAAAACGTTTCAAGGTAACACATAATACTTCATTATTTCAAAATAAAAACGAGAAAAAAATTATTTTTTTACAAACGGGGCTTGGATGAAGTTATTGAAATTTTTCACCGTTTAACATATCACCCTGTAGGAAATTTACTTGACGAACCGTGAGCTTCATATCTATAACATAAATTACCAGAGGATGAGGCTAGCAGACATCATAGACCAAAATAAAATCGTTCAAGAAACAAAAAAGTTATGTCGGTTTGAAAAAGAACGAACTTTTTGGTCGCGACACATTGAGTGGTGCGCAGTTTAGTTGAAGAATTATCACAAAAGTGCATTTTAAACTATAAAACTGATTTTATGAAATAATTTGTCAAAATTTTTACTTTTGGTCTTGTACTGTTCTGAATCTCACCGATTCAATTATTATTCATAAAATATAAACATAAAATAATTATTAAATTACGTAAATCTTAATTTGAACATTTACGTAATCCTTAAAAAAGGATTGTAAGGATGCAGACTTAAAAACCAAAAGATTTTTTTATTAAAAATTATAAACAAAAAATCATAAAAATATTAGTACCTAATTTAAAGGATATATTAGTTTTCATATTCATTAAACTGTTTTCTACTTTTTTACCACCCATCAAAATATAAAATAAATAGTTACCGTAAAAAAGTATTTATCGTGGAATATTCTACATAGGTTTACTTAAATCTCTTTTTCACGCATAAAACACATGGCAGTTTGTTTTTGGCAGTTTCATGAAATAAATTACACACTTGATGTTATGCGTAAAGTAACTTTCTTTGGGCTTTTATTACATAGTAGCTATCATTTTATAGGGAGTACGAAAACTTGACTCCCAAGATGGATATTTAATCCAATTTACCGACAGTTTTTCACTTTTTAAAACATAAACGTTTTTCTTTGCCAAATAAATTATGATATCCAGGTAATGTTAGCACAATGCATGCAGTTATAAATTTATCTATTTTGTTTAAAATATTGCAAAAGTAACCTTTATAAATAAAACTATAGTTATAGTACAAACAAAAAGTTGGTTTAATAAATTCGCATTTTTAATGATATCTAAATGTTAATGAATTAATTTTGTATTTTATTTTACAAATAAAATAACCTATTTCCATATTATATTAATTTTATACTAATACTTGACGTAATGTTAAACTAAGTTTCTAAGGTGAGTGGCATCTTCGAAGCCATGTCCTTCGTATAAATCAATATCAAAAATCTCCTATATAAGCCGACATTTACTAGATTTTTTTATCATTCGTTCAACAGCACACAATGAAATCTTTTGTAGTAAGTACAATATTTACTTGTATTTTTCAGTTATTAGTTAAATAAATTAACTAATACTGTTTTATATTACTTTTATATTTAATTTAATGTTATTATCATTTTTATTTAATAGTGTGTGGCCCTTTGCGCCTTGGTGGCTCTTTCCGCTGCTAAAGATGCCAAATCAAAGGAACAAAGCAAACGTGAGGTTTTATTGAACGGTGGTTGGAACAGTGGATGGAACGGTGGATTGAACGGTTACTCCTCTGGAATTAGCGGTGGTCTTTTGAGCTCTGGCGCCGTTTTGGATAACAGCGCTGCTTTGGGAGGCTACTCCACCTTGGGATCTTTCGGAACTTTGGGAGCTGGTTCTGTATACGGAAGCGGTGCCGCTTTGGACTCTGGTTTGGCTTTGGGAGGTGCCTCTTTGGGCTACTCTTCCTTGGGTGGTGTATCCACCTTGGGAGGTGCCGCTTTGGCCGCCGCTCCAGTTATATCCACCGGCTCAGTAGTATCCGCTGCTCCAGTAGTATCTACCGGATCAGTGGTATCTTCTGGCATTGACTCCGCTGCTCTTGGAATCGGTTCTTTAGGAGGTTACAATACATTGGGAGGAGTATCCACCTTGGGAGGAGTATCCACCTTGGGAGGAGTATCCACTTTGGGAGGAATCGCTGCTGCCCCAGCCGTAGAATCTGTAGGACACGTCCAAGTGGGCGCTCCCCTTCACCACGTATACCAAGCTCAAGCCGGACAAATCATCGGCAGGAACTTGGGAGTCCAAGTACAAAACCACGTACTTAAAACCGTCGTAGAAAAGGTAGCCGTACCAGTACCACGCCCAGTAGCTGTACCACAATACAGGACCGTCCATGTACCAGCCCCATACGCCGTCCACTCCCAAAAGAACGTGGCCGTACCTTACAAAGTAACCGTACCAGTTGCTGTAGAAAGGCCAGTCCCAGTCCAAGTACCACACCCAGTTGCTGTCCCATACAAAGTACCAACCCCAGTCGAAGTATCCAGACCATACCCAGTCAAAATCACCAAGACCATCACCGTCCCCGTTGAAAGACCAGTTTACATTCGTGTACCAGAAACCATAAGAGTACCCGTCGCTCAACCCGTCCCAGTACCAGTATCCCACCCCGTCAATGTAGCTGTCCCAGAACCAGTTATCGTTAGAGTACCAGAAGCCATCAATGTAGGAAGCCGCGTACACACCCACACCGATTACAACAGCGCCGCTGGTTTGGCTGGAGTAGCCACCGGATACGCCGGTCTTGGCTCCTTCTCCTCTGGACTCGCTTACGGTTCCGGAGTATCTGGTTTGGCCTACAACTCTGGTTTATCTACCATCGGCTCCG